TCATTCATGTGATGCCTTGTATCAGGAGTTGTTAGTTTTTGTAAAAGACTCTTTGCCTCAAATAGACTGTAAGCTGATGGTGGACTGGGTCTCTGTATTAAACTTCTTGTACTTCCCAGAATACCTTGGCAAACACATGCCTTCTTGGTCATGTGCTGTGAGCCAGTGGAGTGTGCTTCTTGGAATGCTCTGTTGAGAATTTTTAGTCCTGCCTCATTGAAAGTGTTTCTTAATTGATGACCAGACTCTGCCACCAGCATAGGCATGGGAAATTAGGGACAGCTGCCCTGGTCTGCCAGGCCTGTGCTGGCCACTGGTAAACACTTATGTCTGGGTCATGGTTTATATTGCCATTCTCAGGTTTATCCCCAAATGTAAATACCATGAAAGCAGGGCTTTTATTAGTTTTTTTGTTTTTTGGGGGGGTCTGCTTTGTCTCGCCTTGTAGATATATCCTAAACTCTTTGAACAGTGTCTCATGTAAAGTAGGTACTCAATTGAAAAAACAATCATGAATGAATTACTGTAAAGAATAGGAACTTTTGTACTAAATTTCACTTACATTTAAATTGGACTTTTAATTAGTGATCGAGCAATACAGGATTAATAAAATAGATTAAGCTCGAACAGTTTAAGAAGCAGTTTAAAAAAGTTCAGGTAAAGACTGGGATAATGGGAATGAAGATATCAGTTAGAAATTGCTGCTTGGCTGATGTATTCAGCAAATATTTATAATGTATCTAGTATGACAAGCATTCTGCTTCCTCCTCTTTATGTAATTATGGTTGATTTCTTCTTCCCCCATCGTGTGATTAGGACGAAGTTATCAGTCAGGTAAATGAATGTCTCTTAAGGCACCTAAGTGCTTCAGCAGGGCATTGACTTTGAAAGCTTCTATTTTGGTGTACGATGCTGACAAGGAGCATGCTCTCAGCTACTGGCATTCTCCACCTTCACTTTATTTAGCCTCTCATGTAAGATTTGGGATCCCCACAAAGCTATCTTCTGCTTGGCAGGTTTTTTCGTGTATGAACTGGTATCACTCCTGTTTCTGAGGGTATAAATTTGCTTTTGCTGTGACCCAGCTGTTGGTTTTGTGGGCTGTTTTCTTGAATATGATAAAGGCTGGAGCAGTGATTTCTTGGAGGATAGGTTTTTTTCCCTGAGGTTCTTTGGGAGAGGTGGGTAAGGAAGCTGATGGTGTGACCCCCGTGAAGCCTGTCCTCTTCCTTTGCCCTGCGCCCCTGAGAGGCTGGGGTTCTGGGAAGGCCAGAGAAAGCACCCCCCACTTTTCCTTATTTGCGTTTAGACACCAGGGGTTGCATTTCTGAGTCCCATAGCGCCACACCTATTATGCAAAGTCAAATTATTTTGTGAATTATCACAAACATTGATCTGCCCTTGACAGTACCTTCAGAGTTTTGCAGTAAATCTGCAGACTGATAGCATTTCAAGGTGTCAGTTTTTGTCACTTGTAAGCTTCCCTCAGTCAACTGCAGTTGGAAAGGAGTCCAGCATAACAAAAGCATTACTATCTCTTAAACTTGGCTTTAACCTTCAAAGACTAATAATTTATTATTCGGTATTATGCTCCAGTACTTTTGGTGACAATATATCATTTTTAATGTTGGAAGCTTGATTTTTGTAATATAAAGACATAAATAGGAGAAAAAGAAAATGATAGCTAAGTACTTTTATGGGTAGCAATCTGAATAGCATTCTTGATGCAATTCATCCACCATTTATCTGCATAAATTATGGTAGTTTAAGAAGAGGAGCAGATGAGAAGTACACTTAAGGCCCTTTTTTATAGCAACATAAAATAAAGCAAAAATTATATTCATTACTTTTTAAAATACAGCAACTCTTCATTATAGTTTTCATTCATTGAAAGTAAATGCCTTGTTAGCTAATGAAACATTGTTTGATGTTAACTAGATGTGGTATCATCATAGAAGCAGTATTTGCCTCTTTATAAAGCCTTGTCAGTAATGTCCCCACTTTGTTACTGGCCACTTGTTTTCAAAATATCAAGAGTATAAGTGATCTTTGGAAAGGAAAAATCAGTCTCCTTTATTAGCAGAAATTAATAACTTGGAATGTGTGTTTGCTTTGTAAGCGTTAAAGTGACTTTGAAATGTGCGGGGTCTTTTTTTCTTTTTTGTGTGTGAAAGCCAAGGGGCCCAAAGTAGTACAAAGAGAAGAAAGCTTTAAAATCTTCTGTCTTCACTGTCCGCTCCTTTTACCCCAGAGCATATCTATTTTCTTTTATATTTTAAAAGTAAACAGAATGGATGTTAGCTGAATCTATCATGGTAATAATTTCATAAGTCAAACCATCACGCTATATGCCTTAAACTTATATGGTGATGTATGTCAATTATTTCTCAATAAAACTAGAGAAAAAATTAAATAGAAAAGCATTTCTAGATTTTGCTTTTTCCTTTGCTGCATAAATTTCACCTCTATTTCCTGCAAAGAAATTGTGAGGTGTGGAAAAAAGTTCACAGATGGCTATGTGAGAGTGTTGCTGTAGTGCAGAGTGGCTGCTGAGAACTGTCTCTCTCTCTTTCTCCATTCCTGCTTTTCTTCTCGGTTCCAAGGAGGCCTCTGGAGGAAAAGGCAGAACCTCGAGGTTCTGATTTCTTCAGTTTGGTACTCTCGGATCACTCAGTTCAATTCAGTCACTCAGTTTTGTCTGACTCTTTGTGACCCCATGGACTGCAGCACACCAGGCTTCCCTTCCATCACCAACTCCTGGAGTTTACGCAAACTCATGTCCATTGAGTCAGTGATGCCATCCAACCATCTCATCCTCTGTCATCCCCTTCTCCTCCTCAGATCACTAGGTTAGTTTTTTCTCCTTCCCCCTTGTCTTAGCCTTGCTTGCTTGATTTATGAGGAGCTGAACTCAGCCTAAGCAAGAGGAGGGAGGGAAGGAAGATGGATGAGGAAGGGGGTGCAGTAGTCCTCCTTATAGTGAAGCTCCGTTATCTGCAGTCTGAAAATATTATATGGAAAATTGCAGAAATCAGCAATTCATAAGTTGTAAATTGTATGCCATTCTGAGTAGAAACCTCACACTGTCCTGTTTCGTCCAGCCCAGGACACAATCACCCTTTGTCTTACTTATCGTACCCATTAGTCACTAATAGCTTTTGGTTTGGAGAAGGAAATGGCAACCCACTCCAGTATTCTTGCCTAGAGATTCCCATGGACAGAGGAGCCTGGTAGGCTGCTGTCCATAGGGTCGCACAGAGTCGGACACGGCTGAAGTGCCTTAGCATGCATGCATGCATTGGAGAAGGAAATGGCAACCCACTCCAGTGTCCTTACCTGGAGAATCCCACGGACAGACGAGACTGGTGGGCTGCCGTCTGCGGGGTCGCACAGAGTCAGACACGACTGAAGCAACTTAGCAGCAGCAGCAGCTTTTGGTTATCAGGCTGACTATCACTGTATCAGCATTGCTTGTGTTCACGTTAGCTTTATGTTGTTTAATAATGACCCTTAAGCACAAGAGTAGTGATGCTGGCAATTTGGTTATGCCAAAGAGAAACTGCTAAGTGCTTCTTCTAAGTGAAAAGGTGAAAAGTCTTGAGTTAATAAGAAAAATAAGGACAAAAGTGCTGAGGTCACTAAGATCTATGATAAGAGTCGATCTTTCTGTAAAATCATGAAAAGGAAAAAGAAATTCATGCTAGTTTTTCTGTTGCACCTCAAACTGCAAAACTTAAGGCTAAATGTATAATAAGTGCTTGGTTAAGATAGAAAAGGCATTAAATTTGTGCAGCATAGTATTTGGGAGAGAGGATGACCACATTCATGTAAATGTTATTACAACACAGTTGACCCTGAGCATCATGAGTTTGAACTGTGTAGGCCCACTTATACACGGAGTTTTAAATAGTAAATCCTGTAGTATGTGATGATCTGCGGTTCGTCGAATCCATGGATGTGCACCTGTGGAAAGGAGGACTGACTGTAAAGAAGTTAAAAGTGAATTTTTGTCTGTGTAGCGGGTCTGCTCCCCCAACCCCTGCATTTGTTCAAGGGTCAACTGTGTATTTTAAAATTGTTTTTACTATAACAATTTTAAACTATGTCTAATTTATAGATAGGAGAGGGCAATAGCGCCCCACTCCAGTACTCTTGCCTGGAAAATCAGATAAGCTTTCTCATATGTATATACTTAAAAGGAAAAAAACACATCCATCAGTATCCAAGGGGAATTGGTTCCAATGCCTGTCACACATTTTCTAAAGATGCTCAAGTCCCGTAGTCAACTTTCCCCATGGGATTCAACTAAGCACAAGTTGTAAGCATAGTACATGATCCATCCTCAGTTGGCTGAACCCACAAATGCAGAACCTATGAATTTGGAGGACCAACTATATATTTATTGAAAACAAGTTGTGGAGAAAGCGGGGCGTTCGGCTTGTGAGCGGGAACTTCTCAGTCGCGCACAGAGAAAGAACGATTTAAAAATGGGTGATGTTGAGAAGGGCAAGAAGATTTTTGTTCAGAAGTGTGCCCAGTGCCATACTGTGGAAAAGGGAGGCAAGCACAAGACTGGGCCAAACCTCCATGGTCTGTTTGGACGAAAGACGGGTCAGGCTGCTGGATTCTCTTACACAGATGCCAACAAGAACAAAGGTATCACCTGGGGAGAGGAGACGCTGATGGAGTACTTGGAGAATCCCAAGAAGTACATCCCTGGAACAAAGATGATCTTTGCTGGCATTAAGAAGAAGGGAGATCGAATCCATGGATGTGCACCTGTGGAAAGGAGGACTGACTATAAAGAAGTTAAAAGTGAATTTTTGTCTGTGTAGCGGGTCTGCTCCCCCAACCCCTGCATTTGTTCAAGGGTCAACTGTGTATTTTAAAATTGTTTTTACTATAACAATTTTAAACTATGTCTAATTTATAGATAGGAGAGGGCAATAGCACTCCACTCCAGTACTCTTGCCTGGAAAATCAGATAAGCTTTCTCATATGTATATACTTAAAAGGAAAAAAACACATCCATCAGTATCCAAGGGGAATTGGTTCCAATGCCTGTCACACATTTTCTAAAGATGCTCAAGTCCCGTAGTCAACTTTCCCCATGGGATTCAACTAAGCACAAGTTGTAAGCATAGTACATGATCCATCCTCAGTTGGCTGAACCCACAAATGCAGAACCTATGAATTTGGAGGACCAACTATATATTTATTGAAAACAAGTTGTGGAGAAAGCGGGGCGTTCGGCTTGTGAGCGGGAACTTCTCGGTCGCGCACAGAGAAAGAACGATTTAAAAATGGGTGATGTTGAGAAGGGCAAGAAGATTTTTGTTCAGAAGTGTGCCCAGTGCCATACTGTGGAAAAGGGAGGCAAGCACAAGACTGGGCCAAACCTCCATGGTCTGTTTGGACGAAAGACGGGTCAGGCTGCTGGATTCTCTTACACAGATGCCAACAAGAACAAAGGTATCACCTGGGGAGAGGAGACGCTGATGGAGTACTTGGAGAATCCCAAGAAGTACATCCCTGGAACAAAGATGATCTTTGCTGGCATTAAGAAGAAGGGAGAGAGGGGGGACTTGATAGCTTATCTCAAAAAAGCTACCAATGAGTAATAGTTGGCCACTGCCTTATTTATTATGAAACAGAAGTGTCTCATGACTTTTTATGTGTACCATATTTAAATTGATCTCATACACTAGAATTCAGATCATGAACGGCTGATGGAATAATTCTGTTGGACAGTCCTGATTTAAATAAGATTGGTTTGTGGCTAAAAAAAAAAGAAAAAAGTTTGTGTATAAGTGGACCTCTGTAGTTCAAATCGTGTTGTTCAATGTTCAACTGTGTATCTAGGGTTTGGTACTCGCTGTGGTTTCAGGCATCACAGGGGACTCTTGGAATGTATCCCCCATGGATAAGGGGTGACTAGTGGACAGAGGAGCCTGGCAGGCTACAGTCCATGGGGTCACAAAAGAGTTGGACATGACTCTGACTAAACAACAACTGTACCTTGGAGGCTCTGAGGGCAGGAGATGGGGTTGCAACTTCAGAGGGAGTAGAACAGAAGCTAGCGAGTCAGGGTGGACATAGGGGTCCTCTGCCTGCGGGGGTTTCGTGACTACCACCTCTGCTTCTCTCTGCCCCTCTGCACTTTCCTCTCTTCCCTGTAGATCACTGTGTTCCCCTTCCACCTTTACATGAGCTTTCTTCTTTCACAGAGACTGTCTGGGGTTGGAACTTCATCCAGAGTATTTGGGGGAACAAATCTCATTGGTCTTGCTCAGGCAGGTTCTCTAGCTCTGGTCCTATTATTATGGTGGTGGTTGTGGCTTAGGAGGTGATGAGGCTCATAGAGTTTGTAGATCAGAGGTTGTCAGGACTGCATTTTTGAAGAAGAAGGAATTGAGGTTTTGTGGCTTGTGAACGTTTGAAAAAAGTTTAAAATTTAAATTATGAGAATCTTCAAACATTCAACAAGGTAGAGAGAATTATACAATAAAACCCCATGTTCTGATCACTTAGCTTCACCACTTAGGGAGATTCTGACCCTTCAACTCAAATAATTGTACTGTTGGCTGATAAATGGAAGAGTGGTATTCAAGTTTATTATGATCCTTGATCATAATTCCACATGTTGTCTACAAGGATTACACCACAGCTCCTCTTCCTGAGTTTTCTTTGGCAGTGAAACTATCCTTGAGCCTTCCTTAAAGAAACTATGCCTGTAAGAAAACTCAGTCTTCTATGCATCTTTCCTCAAATATTCCTAGCTCGCTATTCTTTCAGGGGGCAATTTTACATGAATTGCTTGTACAACAAAGAAATAATAAAGATTTAAGAAGTAAATCGGGCTTTCCTGGTAGTTCAGGTGGTAAAGAATCTGCCTGCAATGCAGGAGTCCTGGGTTCGATCCCTGGATTGGGACTATCCCATGGAGAAGGGAATGGCTACCCAGTCCAGTATTCTTGCCTAGGGAAGTCCATGGACAGAGGAGGCTGGTGGGCTTCAGTCCATGAGTCCTCAAAGAGTCAGACGTGACTGAACGACTAACACTTTCAAGAAGTAAATAATTTTTTAAGAAAGACTCTTTCTTTACTCCATAGCTGCCCTTAGACTCCTTCTATAGGTAATTTTTTGTTGTTTACAAGAAAGAACTCTCTAACCTACCCCATTCCTTTATACCCTGGGATAGACCCCTTATTTCATTTTCAGTGGCTCCACTTTCCTCAGGCTACTTTGTGACTGAAACCTGGAAAAAACTTGCAAATATCATACATGTAAGAAACAGATTTCAAGTGAGTGGTTTCTAACCCTATTAGCATAATCTTAAAGTATTATTTTCTTGTATGGTCACCAGGGAAGAATATTTTTATACTGAAATGAGTGACTATGAGAGATCTGTGGTTTATGCAGACAAGCCTGGAAGCAGGGGCATCTTGGTAAACAGGGTGGCCCCTTTGAGATTTTGCTGGTAAGTGATAGTACAATTTAAAGAGTATTTTCTCTTCGCACTTATCTGCAAGGCCTCTTTGAAGGCACCAGCTTTCTCCTTCAAGGTACAGTTTTTTTCTGTAGAAACCATCAGCTCCAACCATCAGGGCCTTCTGTTCCCTTTATCACTATGAAGATTACTTGTATTTTTTCTTCCCACTATTGGCTTCTGATGGTTCCTAGTTCAACTCACGGGCTACCTGATTATCCAAACTGTTTGCCATTTTTTTCTGTAAAGACTGTAATTGCTTTTAAGATATTGAGTGATGCCGTCATATGAATGATGCAGGCAAGTACAGTCTTCTTCATCCTCTGCTTCCTTGCCGCTGGTGTATGGTGTGCGACCTGGCAGAAAACATGTGCTTCTGTGACGTATTCTTTGAAAACAAAGAGTATGTGTATGCTGGACTACCAGTTTCATTTAAGAGTGTGTTTCATGGAGCCTTTCGAGTGGGTTTTAGGGTTGAGGGTAAAACCATTTGGAGGCATGAGTCGTCATCCAGGCCTCCTTATTCATCTGAAATGTAGATGAAGGGGAATCAGAAAATTGCTTAAGCCTGGCTTGACGGTACCTTCCAGACTGTTATGACCAGAAAAGACTTTCCAGGTCACCTCGTTTAACACCTTCATTTTTTTTTTTTTCAGCTGAAATAATAGATTGTTGTTGTTTAGTCAATAAGTTGTGTCTAACTCTTTGCGATCCAGTGGGCTGGAGCATGATAGGCTTCCCTATCCTTCACTCTCTCCCAGAGTTTGCTCAAGTTCATGTCCATTGAGTTGTTGATGCTATCTAGCTGTCTCATCTTCTGCTGTCCTCTTCTCCTTTTGCCTTCAGCCTCTCCCAGCATCAGGGTCTTTTCCAATGAGTTGGCTCTTTGCATCAAGTGGCCAAAATATTGGAACTTTCAGCTAAAGCTGAAGAAACAGATAATACTTGGTAATGTGTGTCCTACTATATTATTCAATAAATACAAATTGTTGAGCAGTTAAAAGCCCTTGCTTGGTGCCTGGGAAGATCTGATCTGTTCTGATACTCACCTAAGACCTGGGCCCTGCCCTTTGATGGCCCCAGTCTCAGGATCAAACATGGATGTGAACCCATGTATTTTTGGAGGATGCTTTGACTCTCAATTCTGTGTTCAAGTATGATAAATTGCTGAACAGAAATGTGAAACCAGCTTACACAAGGATAACAAATTGGGTGTAGAACATTTTTTTCTGGCACTCTGACCTTTTGTGTCTGGGGGTGCTACTTGGGGTTGGAACCTGCTTGGACAGGTAGTCAATATTCTTTCTTTACTCTCTTTTCTCAGCTTTTATACAACCCTTCTTTACAACTTTCCATCCTTTATCTCTCAAAGTTTCTCTGAGTTCCCATTTGTAGCATTTCCCCCTTTTTTCTTATTTTCCTTTCTTAGTCCACTGCCAGACACATAGTAAGAATGTAATCAATGTTTGAAGTAACAAATGAAAGGTACTGTTACTTTCTTTAAAATGTCTGGGGATTCAGAAAACAAAAGGAGATACTATTTAAAAAATCTTAACTGACTTGTCTTCCAGCTTACTGTCTTGAAGAAAATATATTAAATGAACAGCATTTTAATGCTGGTACTGGTTTTTCCTTGGATAAGTATTTTAAAAATCCCTGCTTTTGTGCATGTGTACATGTGCATGCACAACTAGTAGTGTAAGTTTTAAAGAAGATATTACGCCAAACCATTTATTTCATTTGATTAAGCCATTAGAAAAGATTAGAGGTGTCTTTAGTTCTGGGGAGATAAGTTTAACAGGGAATGGATTTCAGAAACATCTGGGCAACATATACAACACCTTTCTGTTCCCTTATCTCTAAATGCAGCTGTGTGTGTGTATGTGTGTTTGTGTATTTTATAAAAGATAAGAATGATAAGATGGGAACAGCATGTTTGAAAGCTCCAATTTCTTATATCTCATGCAAGTTTCTTCTCATGGCTTCCTCCAGATATATAAATATATGGTGAAGCTAGAGTTTCCTTTTTCCTTTTTTTTTTCCTTAGAGAATATTATCTCTATCTAGAAAAGTGTCATCACCCAGTGACTGAATGTTGCTATTTGAGCTTTCTGTCTTGAATAAAGCTAACCTTAAAGAGGTGCCCCCTGCCTCAGATAACTGTCCCTTCCTGTTCACTTCAGGCACAAGGCAGTGCTGAGGTGACTGCCCAAATGAGGACACTTTTATGATAAGCAAGGAGGGAGTCTTGTGGGTCAGGATTTCCTTGACTTCTTGCCTTTGCTTTTATTAACTTTGCAGAGCAGCAGACCTGCTGGCTTAGGGGTCTGTGGTCAGAAATCTGTGTGTGGGACCGGTAGGGGGTGCTTCAGGAGGGACGTGACCATCAAGGGCTATGTCTGGCTTATGTAAGTTTCGTCTTGGGTTTTCTCAGGTGACTGCAATGATGATGACAGTGATGACATATTCTTTCTCTAAGGGAAGGACTGGGAAGTCAGTGCAGCGGCCTTTTCCTTTCCACATAATTGTGAGGAATAAATCAGCGTTGGTTTGGTTGCCAGCCTGTGTATTGATCACAGTTTTCAGTCCTTGAAAATGCTGGTGAGATCTTATGTTCTTCCTGTTAAATTCAGTAGAGTGGATTTCAGAGGGAGCTATGGAATTCAAATAAAGTCTATTATTTATGGGCAAGGCTGACACAAATGAAAGCAAAGCATTTTACTTAGAGCAAATACATACTCAACACTGAAAGTGTCAGTGTGTGAGCAGGAACAGGTCCAAAAGAATTTGTTTTTTCAAAGTCATCTCTTAAAAGAAGCTGAGACCTTGGTCAGTCATCGCCTATACTAGTGGGGATTCCCATGTGCAAGTGGGCAGGGTGGGAGAGGGACTTGATGCATCTGTGCCTCTGGAAGAAAATGTGAAAATCTGCAAAGAGCTCCTTTGGACTAGGATGTGTATGCAACCTTCATGGCTTAGCTTTTAATAGAGTTAATTTCACAGAGGCAGCAGAGATGATTGTAAGAAGCTGAGTCTTTTCTTTCTGGATTTATCCCAGTTCTGTCACTAACTATCTGCAATGTTGGACGCACTATGTCTTATTCCTGGGTGGCAGAGGACCCATCTGTGACAGAAGGTTGCACCAGGAAACTGTTTTTCAGACTTAAAGAAGAAAAACGCCAGCCTTCACAAAGATAAACACTTTACTTTGTAATTTATTACACTCATTCACTTGTGTGCATGCACACATGTATGTATATTTGGTCTTACTCTAGGTGATGTACTTTGATTTTGT